GTTTTTTAAGATAATATATTTTTTAATTATAAATTAATGTACAAAAAAATATTATAATCACTTAATGTTGCTAAAGGTAAAAAAACAAAATTGAAAATTATTAGATAATTATTAATTAAAAAATGTGATCAAAAATTAAAAAATTAAAATAGATAAATTTGTCAATAATATTAAAAAATTTTAATCTGCTAACAGTTTGGTATAAAAAGCTACATAAACTAGCTTTTTCAATCCGCTAGTGGTTTGGATCCTAACCACTATCCGCTAGTCTCAAACCGCTAAATAAAAATTTTACCAAACACTTTATTTGTAGCGGTTTCGAAATATATAAATTTATCAAACACCTATATTTAACGATTTAGGTAAAACTGCTAACCACTACCCCAAAACCGCTATACCAAACAAACCCTTAGAGTAACATTCACATTATTCATGTTCACGTTCTCTGTTTTTTTCCAATATCTTATCTTCCTTCTTCATCGTCGATTACTTTTGGTGGTCGACTAGGAGTATATATTAGAGAACTAATGAAGGAATTTATGTACATAATTTTGCAAGTTAAAAGGACTTCCATTTGATAAAGTATACGGTTCAAAAACCAGGCAGCTGCCAGCCCGCAATATGAGTATATTATCTCTACGGAAACCCCAACTTTCATGTCAAATTCAAGCTCTACCTAAATATATATTCTAACCTTTTTCGTTTAACATATAGGTATCTTTCCATATATATATATATATATAAAGGAAAAGACAAGATATGACATGCAAAATATAAAATTCTATTTCATATTTAGAATCTTACAAATTTAAATAATTATAGTTGACTATTTTTACTTGATAGGAGGTATGAATTAGTATGCTTGCGCATTACTTAATGATAAATTGATTTGGTGAGATTTTATCAAAATATTAGATTGTGTCTATAACAACCATACATATTATTTCCATAATAAAAAAGGTGTGTGTATATAAATGTAACTTTTTTAAGTGCACTCTCAAAAAGTGTTTCAAGTGATTAAAAACTTGAAATTTCAAATTAAAAATTTTGAGTTCAAACCTTAAGACAGATGAAAAATGATTAGTATGTTTGGTTTGAGGAGAGGGCAGAGGTGAGATTTTTAACCAATCAAATCATAATATTTATAAATATGGCTATTTGATTGATCAAAAAATCCATCCCTCCCCTCCCCTCTATTTCTGTCAAACCAAACATATAATAAGGGAAGGTGAAGACTATATATCTCCTATTATAATTAATCCATCATCTGATGTAGAAAAAAAAAAAAAAAAAAACCCCTTACATGCAAAACTACAGGCAGAGTTTGTCCAAAGTTTACATAGATAGGTCATATATATATTAAAATGAAACTTGGGATCACAGTAAATGGAAGTCCTTTAGATCACCTTGGTATCAAACTCCTGAGGTCTAGAGAATCCCCAGGGAATAATTATAAAGGACAGATTAGAAGACAAAGTGTCATTGCATTAATTTTTCCATGTTAATTATTAACAAAATTTACAAACAGTACTGCATGCTTTATTAATATACATAATGTCATACAAACAAAAAAATATACATCATACCATACAACAAGCCTTCTTTGGCCAAACCAAAATAAGGGAAAAAAATACAAAACAAGCCTTCCACAGATAAGAGGAAAGAAGCTTTCTACAGAGAAAAGAAAACAAGCCCAAGCCTTCTTTTTTTTTGTTTTTCTTTTCCATAATTATTAAAAACCCTAACTACAGATATATATAGTTATAAAACCCTAAAGAGCGAGCTTCCAAAATCATGGAGGAGACTCGTTGCCCCTATTAGCAAACCAGAAACCAACGGATCATGCCATCAAACTGAAAAACCACTAGAAACAGCTTTACATACCAAACACTTCTTCATTTGAAACCGACGATGCCATCAAACAGGAAAGACCCTAGGAACAGCTTTGCATACCCAAGGCTTCTTCATTTCCATGGAAAGCTTTACCCTTTCAGACAAGTCCACAGCAGCTTCCCCAGGAACCCACTGGAAGCTTTGTAGCAACTGAGCCAGCCACAGCTCAACAGTAGCTAACCCCATGGCCTTACCAGGACAAACCCTTCTGCCTGAACCAAAAGGAGCCAACCTAAGGTCAGACCCCAGAATGGCTACATCTTCTCTCATGAATCGTTGTGGCTTGAATGACTGGGGCTCCTACCAGACCTGACCATCGTGGGTTACGTAATACCCAAGGATTTCTAACTTAAGATCTAAATAAATTATTTAAACTCTTAGAGAGTGTATATGTGATAGGATTAAATTTGGAACACTTTCCTTACCTCAACTTCACCCTTTATCTTTACCAAAACCCTAATTTCCTCCACCATTTTGAGCCCGATCCCATGTCGAAAATCCCCAAAAGAGGCAATCCTTTTAGGGCTAAATAAATGGATTGATGAGATTCTTCTTAAATTCCTCCAGTACTCCCCAAAAGGAGCAAATCCCATTGCTCTGTGGCAGAGCAGCTCGTAAGCCGATTCTTTTATGGACCTGTCAACGAAAGCAGAGCTGTTCAGAAGCTCTTTAGCAGTCTCTGGCTCGCTGGAAATGATGAAACGACTGAACCCTAGTGAAAACGCCATCAAAGTTTTCGCGTTTAGGGTCTGAGCTAGGTTAGCAAGACCCCTATGAGTCAAAGACCTGGTGAATGCCAGGACAAGACCCAGAACGGGGACACCAGAGGGTCCAGGAATGGCGGTTTGGGTGCGGACTTGGTGACGTGTTTTGTACAGAGCCCAAGCGAGACATCCTAGGGTTAACCAGAAGCAAAACACAGAAAGGATTGCGAAGAGACAGAAAGACTTCGAAGCTAAGAAATGGTGAGGACACAGTTCGGGGAATGACAGAAAGGTGGTATATCGGCGACATTTTAGTGGTTTTCCTGTGAAGGATTACCCTCGGAGAGGAGTGGGAATGGAAGGGAAGAGAATGCAGTCGTGTGAGGAGGTGGAAGTCGGGAGCTTTATATCGAAATGTATTTAACCATGGTTAAACCGTACCCATAGGCGTAGTTAACGTGACAAAAAATTATTGTATGGTTTTAAAGTAACCTGAGCAGCATAACTAAAAAGGTTAAAATATTAATTTAGTTTTATAACTTTTATTTGTATTAAATTATTTTTTAATTTTAAAATATTAAAATTGTCATTAAATTTTAATTTTTATCATAAAAATTTCCTTCCAATAATAGGAAAATCACCTAACTTGTTATTTTGTAATAAAATTAGTTCTTCTTTAATTATTAATGATGTATAAAATCAAATAGTCATATTTTATTATTATAATATATTTTTATTTATATATCATATTAATATATAATTAAAGTTAAAAAACTAAATTAATATTTGTAATTAAAGTTTAAGAACTAAATTAATACTTATTTTTAAAGAATAAAGACTAAATTTGTATTATTTTCAAAGTTTGAGAACTATTTTGGTATTAAAAATTAAAATTTTAGGATAATTTTGATATTTTCTAAAGTTAAAGAATAATTTTATTAAAATCTAAAAATTAAAGGACCAAATTAATATTTTAACCTAAAACTATCAAAGACACTCCTATTTTTCAGCACGGACTTCAACAACAAACTTTGAGAAAAGCGGTCAATAAGGATGCAAACTTTTGATTTTTTTTTATTTAAGGATGTTAATTTTATCAATTCCTAAATAAAGACGTTAATTTTCAATTTTTTATATTTAAGAATATTAACTTTCAATTGTTTCTATTTAAGGATACCAACTTTTAACTTTTTTTATTTAAGGATTAATTAGATGATAATGTTAATATGATAAATGGATTTTTTAGCTGAAATGTTAAAAGTTGGTATCCATAAATAGAAAAAATTGAAAGTTGACACCTTAAATAGAAAAAATTGAAAGTTAATATCTTTATTTAGAAACTAACAAAGTTAATATTCTTAAATAAAAAAAAATACAATGCTCACATCCCTGTTTGCACCATTTCTCAACAAACTTTCATTAAAATCGAAAAAATTCTTTATTTTGAAGAATCAACTTTTTAGAATTAGGCAATTATTTTCGCGTTGGGACCGCACACTATTAGAAAAAGCCATACTTCAGTCAAGCATACTAGTTTAACAAGGCTGTATTTTGATTGAAAAACTAGTAATTTAGTCAAGATATTTAATCAAATTATTGGTCTGAATACACTCTATACAAAATAAAAATTTGAAGAGAATTTCATTTTCATTGAAATAGAAGTTACTTCAGTTAAGATGTTTGATCAAAAAAGTGGTTGATTAAATAATTAAAAAGCTCTTATATTCAGACAAATAATTTAACTGAAATCTTTAAATATTATTTTAATCAAATATTTCCATCAATAATAATGACTGAAATAGTCATAAATTATTAGTTTTTGTTTAAACTATTTCAGTGTAGATACATGACCAAATTAATGGATATGGGTATGTATTTTTGGTAATTTGCAACTTATTTGCTCGGCCAGTGACCTTGACCAAAATAAGATGCATAGTAAATTTGTCTCAGTAATATTTTGGTCAAAATAGCTAATCGAAATAATATTGCATGGATATTTTTGAAAATTTGTTGTATATGTTTTCAGTTCAAAAATATGACCGAAATGATAATAAATTTACATTTTCAGTAATATTATTTCGATCAAATATTTTGACCGAAATAAACATGCAGATTACAAAAGAAATAAAATTATTTAATTAATTTTAATCTAGATGATAAATATTATTATAAAATTTGGTATTAAAAAATTCAACTTTAACATAAATTATATACAATTCTTATTTATCTAATTTATTGGCCTTTTATGATTTTTAATTATTATTAGACTTATTAACTGATAATTATTATTAAATTTCCAGATATGTAAAAAAATGAAAAGAACTCAAAAATACTTAGCATTCGCAAAAAGAATCCAACATAGATGCAAAAATAAGTCAAATGCATATATATAACCACAAATGAAAGCATATAAATTAAAGCATGCAAATAAATTAACTAAATATATAAAAAAATAAAAATTTGAGGACAAATATTAAATCATGCAATAAAATTACCTCCAAAATGCTGCCCCCATTGTTCACCAACTTAAGGAACCTTGAAAATGAAGAATTAAATCATTAGTACACAATTAAAACACCAAGAACATAAGATTATAGAAAATAAAGATAATTTTACAAAATAAAATAATTAAAAAAATTAAAAGTAAGAGAGATGGTAAAGAAAGGAATTAGTATTAGTATTGAAGAAAAATATGTGAAAATTGTGAATAAAACTTGAAAATAAAATACTAAGGAAAAGAAATAGGAGTAGTGTTGAACAAGAAAAAGAAAAAGAAAGATGAAGACATGAAGAAGTAATGAAAATTTAAAGATAATTGTGCAAAGTTAGAAAAATAAGGGGTAAAGAAATGTGTTGAATTTGGAGAAGAAAGAAATGAAAGAGAAGTTAGAGAAGTGATGAAAAGAGTCTGGTTTAAACATTTTTATAGGCTAGGTATTATTTTGAACAATCATACTAATCAAAATAAAAAGGTGAAAAATTCAAACATTTTTTGGCAAAATATTCAAAAGGAAAGGTAGGGGGCAAAAGAATTATGAAATTAATTCAGTCAAAAATTTCCAACTAAATTAAATGTAGTTGAAAATTCAAAATTTTCATCAATTTTCCAAAGCAACTCCAGAACCCTTATTTCGGTCAATATTCATGATCAAAATAATTGAAGTTCTAGTTCAATCAAATATTTTTACCGAATTAAAATCAAGTTTTTTTTTTTTTTCAAGTTAGAATAATTTTTTGAGCAAAATATTTGACCAAATTAAGTAATATTTTGGTCAAATATTTTGACCGAATTAAAATATGCAAATTTAATCATCTTTTGATCAATATGACTAATTGAAATATTTGATATAGCAGCTACAAAATAAAAGGCTCCTTTTTTAATTAATCTGCATGTTGCTGCATTTCATAATTTTTACCTTTCTTGTTTTTTACTTTCTTTTGTTTTTAATTTTTTGACCTAAATTTGTAAATAATACAATAAAAATTCTACTAATTAAGCTATTTCTAAATATATATTAGAACATCTAATTGAAAAGTTTACCTATAAACACATAAATATAAAACTTGACCTAATATCATAATTAAAGTATCATGTCCTAAAATAGTAATTAAAGTACTCTGTTCTACTCATACATGTAGAGATTGTCATACATGTCCATGCATATATAATAGTAAAAGATATTTTTGATAAAAAGATCAACTTAGGACAAAGCCAATTATGTTTCTCCACTTATACCAGCCCCTCCTTCTCCCTGCATCATAAAAACCATCCTCTCTATCTTGTCAACCTTCTCTTGTAATGTCAGTTGATTTCCTTATAGTTCTATCACAAATGGTTGGAACTGCACCACACTTTGACATGACTGAACAGAACTATTAGGTATGGTATGTGGAGGATGCTTATGGTGTGACACCCCTTACTCAGCAAGGTTCATGTAAATGGGCATTCCATAAAGTTTTCCATCACTGGAAGGTCCACTTGAAACTTGAGACAAAAGTTGGGCATCAACTACTGTTGGCCATGTAGTTGTGTCCTCCCCAAATTTTTGAATGGGGTTTACAATTAATCGTTCCTACAATAAATTATATAACATACTTATTATAACATTTAATAAAGTATAAAAATACTATATACTCAACCATATACTTACAATCATGATATTCAATATAATTATAAACACTATAATCAAATTACTTACATTTTTGCAATTCATTATAAATTTATAAAAAAATTCGACAGAATTTTCCCTAAAAACTTTATTTTTCCCCTATAAATAAAGTATAAAAATACATTCAACCACATATGTACTTCCAACTATGATATTTAATAAAATTATAATGCAATCTGATTTCACTTAAATGAATAAATAGAGGAGAATTCTTGTCCTTAGTCAATTAATAAGGTATCCTTAATTTTAATTGATTTTTTAATATGACTAAAAATGAAAGAAAAAGGGTCAAGTGACTGCAACAAAACAAAATAAAATAGGATAAAATTGAAATATGAAGAAAGATGGAAAAATGGGAACGAGGATGAGGCTTCTCTTGGAATTTATACATCAAGAAAATGGACTTAATAAGATTACATGAATAAATGAGATTCTCTTGGAATTTATACATCTCACTAAAATGGACTTTATAAGCTCATATGACAAAAAAAAAAAAAAGAAAAAAAAAAGAAGGAAATTTCTAGCCAAAAAGAATGGCAAAAAAGAAAAAAAAGAGAAATTTATGAGCAAACTTGGCACCTTTTTCTTCTTTACTTAATATATCTATACAATTTTTAACTCTCCTACTTAATCTTGATTAGGGACTCAATATAATTATAAACATCATAATAAAATTACTTAAATTTTCACAATGCAATATAAATTTATAAAAGTTTCGACAGAGTTTCCCCTAAAAACTATATTTTCCCCCTATAAACAATGTATAAAAATGCATTCAACAATATATATATTTTCAGCTATGATATTCAATAAAATTAAAATGCAATCTGATTTCACTTAATTTTAAATGATTTTTTAATATGAATAAAATTCAAAGAAAATACCACTGAAAATGAATCTATCAAGAAATAATAATGGTAGAAAAAAAATACTTACAGTATACTCCCGAGCCTGCTCATCAATATATGCTGGCATTTTATCTTTATACTTTGGATGGTGCATTTTTTTTTGCACGGATCACATCATCGAATTATGGATCCCTATGTTCAAGATCTTTTTCTTTCTACAATATCACATATTCAATTATTGTGTTAATTCACACAAATATTATAATTAACATTAAGATTATTATATAAATTATTATATGAAATCTAAAACATAAAGGCAATTAACATTTTTACCAATTTTTGCACAGTCATTGTAATCCATAGATCTACTTGTGTGGGCTATCTTGGGGCCCTTGGCTAGATTTAGCCTTGCTTGCTCTTTGCACGCGTTGAACTATAAGTTCTCCATCCATATGTACTTTAGCTTATCCCAAACCTCATCAAACATGTATG